GGAGCAACCAGCGACTGACTAGACAGGTGTGCGGGTGGCCGGCGGTGCGGGGGCCATGGCAGCACGCGTGTGCTCCGAGGCGACAGGGTCATGGCAGCGACAGACACGTGAGTGGGCGGGGCAGCTCGCCGCGGCCGCGCCAGCCGCCCTTACCCGGTAGTAGTCGGTGCTGTAGACGTCCCTGGACATGCCGAAGTCCCCGATCTTCACCAGCAGGTTGGCCCCCACCAGGCAGTTCCTGGTGGCCAGGTCCCGGTGCACGAAGTGCTGGGAGGCCAGGTACACCATGCCCGAGGCGATCTGGCTGGCGATGTGCAGCATCTGCGACAGCCCCAGCTCGCCCTTGGCCTGGCGCGGCTGCCCGTCCACGAGGATCATGGCGTCCGGCCCGTGGGCCCTGGCGGGGAGGACAGGGGCGAGACAGCTCAGGGGCGGGGAGGCCGCGCGCCAGGACCCAGCTCCCCTGTCCCCACCCGGCCTTCCTCCAGGCAGACCCTGCCAATGTGGGTGCGGGGAGCCACGGAGGCAGCGCGGGTGACGCGCGGTGCACATGCGCCCAGAGGTGGGGCGCAGCCTTCTCTTCGTGAAATGTTACCGCTCTCCAGGGGGCCGGGCCCACATGTCTGGTGGAATAATCCACGAACGGCCACTCAGCAAGGCTCTCATTTGTGCTAAGAATTGCTCTGGGCGTCTGAAATGTATCAACTCACTGAGGCCTCCGCACCCCGATTTTCGGATGCGGAAACCGAGGCACATAACTGCCTAAGTCCCAGAGGTCCCAGAGTGGCCACCGGAGATTTAGGAGGAAGCGGAAAGCAGGTGCCCAGCTGGAGAGAGCTTTGAACTTGAAGAGCAGGAAGTGGGCGGGGTCAACGGGACCAGAGGCCCCACCCCCGGCTTCTGATTGGCAGGTGGGGCGGGGCTGGTTCCCCGCCATTCTGTGGGCTCCTGGAGGGATCCTAGCACCCGCTGGGGTGGCGCTGCTAAGCCCCAGCACACCGCCGAGGGTGGGGTGGCTTCTGGGGTGGCAGGGCCAGAGGGAAAGACCCTATGACCCTAAAGCAGCATCCTGGGGAACCCCGGCCCCCCTCCACCCCAACACTGCGTCAGCATCTCGGGAACACCCTCTTCTGCAGGAGGCAGACAGCCGCACTGGACCACACCCAGGCGGCCTTGGCGGCGCCGGCCTGTTTCACTGCTTCTCGAATTTCCTCCGAAAGGCTCCGTTAAACATGGACACGCCCATGTTGTTGCCGCCTGTGGGCGCTGCCCACCTCGCTGGAAGGAGAGTGGCTGCTCCAGCGGGCGGCAAGGGCGAGCCGCGGGCCATCCTTCCGCGGGGTGGTCGCCGCAGCCCCGCCCCGACCTGCAGTTGAGGCCGGGGCCGGGGTGGCCCGCCCTGGCGCCCTGCTCTTCTGGGCCTGGCCCGGCACAGGCAGACACCTGTTTGGTCCTGCTGGTGCCGCTGAGGTCCAGCTGGGCCAGGGGGGTGGGGGGAGCGTGTCCCTGTGAGCCCAGGGGAGCGGAGACCAGGGAGAGGGACGCCCCGGTCTCTGAGGGGTGTTCTCGGAATTAGAGATGTGACGGCCCCCTGCTGCTGGTGAAATACATGGCGGGTAGCAGTTCCATCACCCCCACCGAGCACCTAGCGACGCAGGACTCGCCTGGGTGCGGATACTGGCACGTCGCGCTCAGAACGGCTGGGAGGCCGTCGGCGACGCTCTTGTTTTGGGAGAGAAAACTGAAGTCTAAGACCTCGCTCCGGGGCATCGCTACGACACCATGAAGGAGCTGAGTCCCGCGTGTCCTGCGACACGGCATCGTCCACAGCGAGGCAGGACGGGCTGTGGACCGAGTCCGGGGCTCGGACATGCTGGCGGCTCGAGTGAAGGCTCTGGGGCCATTCTCCAAGCCCAGCTCACAGGCAGATTCAAAGATGCTTCTGGCCCTTGTCTCCCACCACCCTTCCTGCCCTGTCCCCAGCCCCTCGCTGAATGCCCCACCCTTGGGGGCACCTCGCCAGTTTCTGGGGTGGAGGTTGGGCTCTCTCACAGCTACATGTAAATTCTGAGAATCTCAGTTTCAGCTGTAGAATTCGGTGGGATTCAGAGGTGGGTGTTGGAGAGACGGCACCCCAAGTGTGCAGGGCCCAGAAGGCAACATGCTCCCCAGAAGGCCTCAGCCCGGAGCACGGCCGCCCCCCACACATCGGGAAGGCTGGTCCTGCAGTGTCCTGCCATTTCCATCGAGATCCTCTCACACTGCAGGTACTCAGGCTCCAGACTTAGGGGGCTCGTTGCAGTCACACCCCACTGTGCTAGAGCAGGGTTATCCACCAGAACTCTCCCTGGGCGGGTATGTTGAACCTTCACTGCCTCGGGGTGGCCCCCGGCCACTCGTGGGGACTGAAGCTCTGCCGTCAAGGACTGAGCTTTATACTTTTGATCCACGTCCATTAAAATTCAAGTGGCCGCACGGGGTGCTGTGACCCGGGGGAAATCTGCCCTCGCTTTTATCCAGCTCTGCCTCTGATGAATCTGTAGCCCCGAGACATCTATGCGTCGGCAGACATCTCTGGCGAGGCCTGGGGGAGCACCCAGCTAGCTGCCGCCTCTGAGTGGGCTGGGCCTGAGCCTTGGCGGGGGACGCCATGGGTCAGCAGGCCCCGGGGTGCCCCCGCGGCCCCCCAGGCCCACTCGGAGCCCAGGCTGCGCCAGCGTCGGCGGCAGGGGCCTGTGCCCAGCCGCCGAGGGCGCGATGGGCTGGAGCAAAGGCCTTGTCCCTGCTGCTCTGGCTCCGGTGAGAGCCTCGGGGGGGCCGGGCAGGGAGAGGGGCGGGCGCCGTGGCAGCCCGCGCTTACCTGAGGAACTTGTTCAGGTCCCCGTGCTTCATGTACTCGAACACCATGATGAGGGGGTCCCCGTCGCCACACACCCCGTAGAACTTGACGATGTGCTCATGCTGCAGGTTGGTGAGCAGCTCGGCCTCCCTCTGGAAATCCTTCCGCGCCGCCAGGGTGGGGTCCTTCAGGGCCTGGGGCAACGCAGGGCACTGGCTGTTGGCAGCGCCGGGCAGGCAGGGCGCCCGCTCCCCTCCCGCCAAGACGGCTCCGGGGTGAAGACTGCTGCTTCCCGGGGCACAGGCTTTCGTCGGGGCTCAAGGCCCCAGAGCGCAGCCTCCCCCAGGCCGCCACGACCGGAGGACGGCAGTCCCTGGAGGTGCCCCAAGCAGGGCCGGCGGCGCGGGGTGCCCCTCCGGAGCCAAGCCCTGGCAAAGGCGTGGGCAAGGGCGGCAGCGAGGGGCACAGGGCAGCCCGGCGGCCTGGCCCTGAGTGCCTGGGCAGGACTCAGACACCGCCAGTGATTTACTGATGTTCACAGAGAAGAAGACGGGGAAGGAACGGAGCCCACTAGGGCGGGCGGGGAGGACACAGAGATGCATGTGAGTGCTGGATTTACGAGGGGGCGAGCGGACCAGACGGGGCCAGCCAGCGTAAGTCACTCCCAGACACCGCCGGTGCCCGTGGCCGCCTGGGCAGGGCCGCCCCCAGCTCTCGCGCCGGGCGCCCACATGGCGGGCAGACTCCGGCCTAGAGCGGCAGGCCCTGGGGACTGAGCAAGGGGGGAGTCACACGCTGCCCCTATGGTCTCTTTCTGGACCCCCAACGTTTGAGAGCCTGCACGTCTGGTCTCCGCGCCCCCACCGTGGAGAGAAGGGTCCCCGGGCTCCTCAGGGGGTGGGAGGCGAGGACGCAGCTTTCTCCACAGCTCCCCACTCCACAGGGCCGTCGCCCTGCACTTGCCCAGCCGAGGGCCTCTGCTGCGCTACTCTTCTTCTGGGGGATCGGCTGAGGGGCGCTCGATTCGGACCAGCGACACATGGAGCCCGAGGGGCTGCGCGGCAGGGACACACACAGACACCCACGTTCCTGGGCTCAGACCCCCTGGGCGATTGACTGCGCACGCTCAGCCCACCGAGACGAACATGCGAGACGGCCTTCCTCGTCTCTCCGGTCCGCGGCCGCTTCTCCTAGCTGATTCCCAAACTATTTCATCAGGGAGGAAGGTGGGCCGGTACCCCAACCACGGTGCCCTTCTCTCTTCTGTCTCCCTAGCTCCCAACTGGCTCCTTGCCCCCACGGTTTTCAGGGTAAAATCCTTAACTCCGTCCTGGGCCCGAATTCCAGGCTGCCCGTCGCCCCTCCCTCCCCTGGTCCCCAGCCTGCTCACTGCTTCAGTCCCCAGGCCGTCCCGTCCCGTGTCCCCTCCGGGACGCTGTCGGCCACGGGCCCTTTGCATGTGCTGTCCTTTGGGGCAGAGAAATGCTCGACTGAGTCTTACCCACGCGACAGACTAGCCGGCGCCCCTGGGCGACGCGACGCTGACCGGCCTTTACCCCATCACTCGCTGCCGCCTGGCTTCTCAGAGATGTTCTGTCCCACAGAGCAGATAGGAAAGCTGCGGCCTAGCCAGCTGCCAGCGCCCCCAGTTCATTCGTGACCTGGAGGCCCGTCAGCATCAGCGCTAACGGGATGAAGGTCAGGGAAACCAGAGCGGAGAGCGGGCCGCTTTACGGGACCTGGGAGAACACTCTAGAAGGAACTGCGGAAGGGCTGTGGCTCACAAGTGCTAACTCTTACTTTAAAAACTTGGGAAATCAGGGCCCTCCCTGGGGGCCCAGCGGGTTAAAGCACAGCACTGAGAGGCTAAGGCCACTTCCGCATGAGTTCGATCCCCGCCTACCCTGGAGGTGACCACATGGCGCGGCAGACCTCTCCTGACCCGCCCGCTGCTCCCCTCAGCAGTGGACTTCGTCGATTCACCTGTTCTGCTCCCCACTCTGTCTCTGGTGAAGCCTCTCACCACGCCTGTACCCCTGTTCTGTATGCACAATAAATAGATACATCTTAAAAAAGAAAAAACTTGGGAAATCAGCAAAAATCTGAGATTCTGCACTCAGATTGTTTCACTAGTTTCTGCTCAATCTGAAGCAGCTGAAACTAGAATCATGAACTCCCCATATACCAAAAAAAAAAAAGCCAAAAAACAAAAACACACTCCAAATCAATCAAAAGGGGCAGTTCAGACATCCTGGAAGAAATACCGTGTTCAACCCAAAGCTTAAAATTATCAATAGCCATAACACAAATACCCTGCAGATAAAATGAATTTCATTATAGGCCAAGAGGTTAAAAGATAAATGCACAGGAGTGAAGAAATGATGATCAAGAACACACGAGAAGGTGTATCATCCAAAAAGGGAGAGATAACATGAAGGTAATAAATGAAGGGTTAACTCGATGTTTTGGACGTCAAATATAGGGTCACCGAAGTTGGGGGAACCCTCCATCAGCAGGACAAGCTCAGGACAAAGCCTCGTGAGAACCCACGCCTCACAAGAGGGTCCCCACAGGGCAGCAAGGAGCGGGGGACACAGGAAAAGCAGCGGGAGCCCCCCACCCCGCACGTGTCAGGGAAGGGCGGCCCGGGCCCCACACGGCTCCGCACTGAGGGGTGCAGCCCCTCGCCTGCTCGCGCCTGCCTCTCGGGCCCGGCCGCCAGGGGGGTGCTGTCAGGCCTCGCTGCAGCATGAACACGCTCACACGGCTTCTGCGGGGCCTGGCACCGGCGGGCACCCTGCTGAGTGTCCCCTGCAGGGCTGAGCTGTCCAGCGGCTTCTGGTCCCTCCCTAGCCGTTTCCATCTTCGCCTCTTCACCCCCATCCTCTTCGCTGTCATCACCGCCTCGCCTTCCACTTTCCCTCTGGGCTCTAACTCTATGCCTGAGCCAGGAGCTGCAAGGGGCGAGGGCCTCCTTTTCCCTCAATCCCCAGGACCGCACACAGGCCCAGGCACACAGTCAGTGCTCAACAAATACTATGGGATGAATGGCTACATCAAGCATATTTTAAGAATGTAATAAATGCATGAAAGAAAGTTCTCGCACAGCAGCACACTGCTTTGCCACAAAGCAAACACCGGTGCATCCACAATGCCAGCAAAAATTAAAATATTGCCAACTCCCAACAGTGCCCCCGCCCAGTTCTGTGACACCCCGTGTGCTCTCTCTTACCCCAAAGGAAACCAGACTGATGAAAGTGCACCTCTGCTTTTTAAAAACAGCCCTTAGTACCTAAATATGAATTCCTAAATATGACAAACCTAAATGGTTTTTTGAACTTTGACTAAGTAGAAACACATATATTACTATATATGTGCTTACATATATATATATATATATGTCTACATCAACACCTTACTGTTGAGATTCTTGTACATTGTTGCATTTATTTTCTTCATTGAAAAGTTCGCCATTGTGTGAATATATCATGTTTATTTGTCCATGATGCTACGGACGAGTATTGGGATTGCTTCCAATGGACATCTGACTTTGTGAATAAACTTAGGCGTGCCGTATTGCAGATAGATAGCCACATTCATGCATACACACATAGATTATAGATGGGTGGGCAGATGGGTGGATGATAAATAGGTGATAGGTTACTGACAGACAGACAGACGGACGGACGGACGGAAGACAGACAGGCGGATAGTAGATAAATGGGTGGGGGATGGACGTGCAGGTAGGTAAACTCCTTCGGGTACAGACCTGACGCCGCCGGCCGAGCCTTACAACAATGTAGTGCAACACCAAAGTGCTCACAGCAGCCATCCCCCTCATGTTTCCTCGGATGCAGGACGCTGCAAGTTGCCCTGCTTCCTCGCCAGCACTTGGTGCTGTCTTTGCTGCGAAGCCAGTGTGCTGTGTGAGGTGGCGTCTCATGTGTATGTCTGATGACTGAGTAGATTGGACACCTGATCATCTCTCTGCAGAGAGACTTGTTAGAGTTCCTTTGAGTAAATGTATTATCTGTTAAATGGCTGTTTAAATGTGGCGCTGCCTAATTGGAAATACCACGAATGTCATGGTTTTGACTTACGCTTACACACGCACGCACACACAAACACCTCGCCCTGCCCTTGTTCCCTTCACGGGCTCCTCCTGTCTCCCGACAGACTACAAGTGTCTTCAAAACCAAGGCTATCGTTTCTGCTTTTTGTTTCCTCCGTAACAACTGATGGTCAAAAGACCCTCGTCAATTAATTCCAAGTCACAATGTTGGGAAGTCCTAACCGAGGGCTGTATTGAATGGGTTCTCTGTCGCCCACAGAAAACACGTTTCGCGCTGTCCAGTCTGGCTGGGGCCCTCGCCACCAGGCAGCGCATCCCCCAGGGCCCACCCCAGCCCCAAGAGTGCTGGAAGACCCCAGAGGATCAGTGCCATCCTATAAATAAAGTTCCAGGGCAGGGCCAAGGCTGAGTTTAGACAGTTAGAAACCTTCCCATGACCCTGGTCCGGCCGCTCAGCGCTACCTTCACATCTCCACCCATCGGCGACTGCGGACACACACGAGTTAGTTGATTTGCAGCGGTCACAATCGGGGACCTTTTATGGGGCAATGATTGAGTTCCTTATTTATTTTCAAGAGTGGAGGTCAGCAGTCAATGGCTATTTTTATAAAAAACTGGAAAGTAGTGACCCTCATTAGTTTGTGAACTGCTTCTGCTGTTTCCCACTACCCAGGGAGAGCCCAGGATTTCTCATGGAGGATCAATGGCCCCGAAGCCGAAATAGTTACGCTCTGGCCCTTCGGTGAGTGTGGTCATCCCTCCTCTAGGTGGTCAGGGCAAGAGGTCACGCATCTGTGGGTAGCCACAGTCAGTCACATGGACACCAGGATGATGATGACAGAAAGCAGACAGCAAGGACGCCACACTGAGCACTTACTAGGTGCCAATCAGCATACTCGGGATGTCACGTGATATACCACGCATCCCCAAGATTCTAGGGGGGCTACTACAATGCCTATTACACATGGAGACACTGAGCCCAGAGAGGCTCAGCGTCTTGCCCAGGGTCACACAGCTAACCAGTGGAGGGCACAGGACATCCACCCAGGCTTGACTCTCCACGCTGCCCAGGGCCCGCACAGCCCTGCTGGGATGCCTCTGGGAACCCCGGCCTCCATGGCCCCCCAGCTGCAACTACGCAGGCAGGGCCCACCCCAATGCTGTCCAGGAGCCGCTTGGTAAGAGCCCTCCGTGGGAAGGGAGGGGATTTTCTGGGTCCGAGGGAGAGTTCTCTGGGGGAGCAGGGTCTCCCGCCCTAGCCTGAACATGGCAGAGAATTCCTGCTCGCAGGAGGCACCAACACGGGCCATCAGAGCACATGGGCAGGTGAGCACATGCCCTGCCCAGCATCCTCAGTAAGGTGCAACGACGGGCGAGTCACCCCTGAGACACCATGGTGCCCCCTCCGGCCAGAGCTCGCTAGACAGGAAGGGCCCTTGGGAGGTGTCCTGGCTTGTTTTGACTTGCTCTGGCCAGTCATGTCGCAGATTTGCTCACTGCTCTTCTACCTTCACGCCAGAGGCGGCAGGAGGCGACCCCCGGCGCCCCCGGGCAGACCAGCCCACGCAAACCTGCACAAGTGGCCTGGCCACACCTGGCTGTGGTTACTGCCGGCTGCTCCCTGGGCATACTCCCCGGGGGGCAGAACCTGGATGGGTGGGGGGAGGGAGCCCTACGAACGCCCCCCAAGTGCCCACTGCTCTCCTTTGCTCAGCCCCCCCTTCCCTTCGCAGGGATCTGCAGCCCGAGAGCCACCACCCTTTGCCCAACTCCGCTGCTGGAAAACGGTCCAATGACGCCCCGCAAGGGCCCACCGGACCCCGAGTCACTGAGGAGCGGGCAGGCCTTCTGGGCCTCCAGATAAGCCGGGCCTTTCACGAGCTGAACCTGCTCCTCTGGCTACCCCCAGGCACCTTTAGGTGCCGCCCCTGAAGCCAAAGGAGAAGCTGTGGCCTGGAGGTCCTGTGTTCAACCTCGGAACCAGCGCCCAGTGGCAGCGGACAAAGCCCGTGGGCACCACGTCCCCATGAAGCAGCCCGTCCGTCCCGCTGGCCAGCCCCGGTGGCCCCCGAGCTCCTGGGCCTGGGAGTTACCTTCACAGCCACGAGCATCTTGTCCTTGGTGGGGCTGAGGTGGTAGCACTCGGCCAGGAAGACCTTCCCGAAGGCGCCCTCGCCCAGCTCTCGCTTCAGCACGATGTCCCTCCTCTTAATGTGCTGCACATCTGCGGGCAGACAGGACAGCGGGTCACCCGGCTGGCCGCCGGCTGCCGGCCCCCAGCGGAGAAGCAGGCCGCCGGGCCGAGGTGACAGAGGGCAGCAGAGCGCCAGGACAGGGCGGTCTGCAGCAGGAGGAAGGGGACCCCGGACGGACGCCTCCACCAGAGCCCGTCCCGGGAGCGCCCCCCGGCCGGCCGGCTCCCCAGCGACCGCAGCTTCCAAGGAAGGGGAGGACCCGGACCACAGGCGTCCTGGGGTCCGCGGGAGATGAGACTCCAGCACGCCCCGCCCTGCTGCCTCCAGGTGGGGAGAGGCCGGTGAGGGAAGCGGGTGTGCCTCAGCCCCTGCCGGGCTCGGCGGGCGCTCGCAAGCACCGCAGACGCCCGCGGTGGTGCCGGGGAGGACGGGGCGGCCGGCTGAAGGAAGCCAGGCACGCGCCCTCGTCTGCCGATGGCCCAGCCGGGGGCCGTCCACGGCAGAGGCTGCCTGTCCTCGTCCCCCAAGGCCCAGCCCGCAGACCGGCCACCTCGGGCCCTCCTGCTGCTGCCCGCCTGTCCTTCTCCACTCACCCGGGGCCCGGGAGTGGGGGGGCCCCGCCCCAGGCCTGGGCGAGGGTGGGAGAAGACGCTGCTCGGGCCTGGGAAACGCATCGGTATCGGCCCGCCTGTGCTTTTCTTAGCTCCCACAGGCCACTCAGCTGCCCCTGGCGAGGCCGTCTGACCCGCACGCCGGAGAGTGATGGATTTCCCTGCAAGGAGAGGGCATCCATCTCCTTTACTGCCTGCCCGGCCGGCCCTGGGTCACCAGGCTCAGACACCGGGCGCGGGCGGGGCAGCCTGCAGGCCCGGCGTGGGAAGCGCCCGGCCCGGGGAGGCAGGGCCCCGGCAGGCGGAGGGGGCGGGGAAGGAGGACTCCCGCCGCCTGGCCAGCTCTGTCCGGCCCGTTCGGGAGTGAGCCCCAGCAGGGGCCCACCGGGCAGCCAGCTAGAGGGCTGTGTCCAGGGGCGAGCTCACCGGACACAGGCAGAGGGCACGGCAGTGACTGCCTGGGAGCTCCCCAGCCGGGCCCAGATGACCAGCCCAGGGTGTGGGACCGGCTTCAGGGTCAGAAGCCGTGGGGTCAGGCCTGGCCAGCGCGGAGCCCTCATTCACAGGGCTGAGAAGCGCCCAGTGCCCAGCCGCCTCACCCTAGAAGCAAACGGCTCTGGGGCTGGCACTGACCCATCGGACAGGCGACGTGGCCGGGACACGGGTGACGCCTGTCGCCTTTCCTCCCTGTGCCTGGGGCGCGGGCAGCTCAGCGCTGCCGACGGGGATGGACACTGCCGCGGAGGTGAGGACCCTGCGCCGCCCGCTGTCCGGGTACCCTCGCCCAGCCCTGGACTGGCGCCATCACCATCCGCTGGGCCTGGGCTCACCCAGCCTTGCTGGGCAAGAGAGATGCCGGGGAGCCTCTGGCCGACAGTCAGCGTCCTTCCTTCCGTGAGCTTCTCATTTGAACCGAGCTCAGTTTACTGCAGACAGTGACCGGGACGGCTGGGGGAGGAGGGTGGTTTTCTGCTGGAGTAAATGGAACATGGTCGCCGGGAGCCAGCACCTGTCTGGGCCACCGGATCCCCACCCCCCCGTCCTTCAGAGTCCAAAACAGCATGCCGGGGAGGCCGGTCAGCAAGGAATGAGGGTACCAGGGCAGAGGCGGCCACGCCCTCAGGGCGGCTATCGATGGCCGAGGAACCCTGACTGTGCCTGCCAGGCAGCAGAGCCGCCCCCGAAGCCAGGCCCCTCAGTGAGACCCCAGGTGCTGGCAGGCATCACTGGCCGGGGTCGGGCTCTCGATCGCCCAGGGAGGCCGTCCGTGTGGGAGCCCCGCTGGCCCTCCCGGCTGGCCACCCCCAGCCACCCTGCCTTCGCTGCCTCCCGGCCACTGCAAGGCCACCCCCAACCGGGTCCCGTCCTCCTGCCGAGGACCCAGGGGTCCTTCCCCATCAAGGGGTCCCCGCGCCGCCTTGTCTGAGCTTATCTGTACCCCCAAGCCCTTTGCGCTGATGAGGAGGGAGATGGTGTTGGAGGGGTCAGGTCACCCAACAATGGCCTTCAGCCAAGGGCAGAGCAGGTCCGAGGCGGCCCGGCCCCTCCCGCCTGGCTGTGAGGCCACACTGCGGGGCGCCCACACAGAAGCCCCCCGGGCCAGCCCAGAGCTTGTCCCTGCTGAGACCTCGCCCCGCCCTGCGGCAGGGGGCCCCTCTGGGCTGGCTGTCGCCTGCCGCCCTTCACGCGGCTCTCCGGGCCTCGCCAGCCCTCCCCCCAGAGACACTGCTCTGCGCACTGGCCGCCGTGGACGGTGGACCCAGTCCGGTCATGGGGACCCAGAGTCGCTTCTGGGGAGCCCACTCCCCTCCCCTTCACGGCCCCAGAGCCTCGGGGCGCCAGAGGGCAGAACCGAGACCCCAGGCCCCCCAGAAGAAGACAGGGGCTGCGGCCTCCGGGCTCTGGCACCGTGGGTGAGTGCTCGGGGTGACAGTGGCCAGGAAGGAGAGGGTGGCTCTTGCAGGAGGGAAGAGGGGTGGGCCGGCGGGGGGTCTCTGAGGAGCGTGTGTTTTCCTTGCACTGGCCAGACCCTAGGGTCTGCCAGGCTGCCAGAGTGCTCAGAAGAGAACATTAACTCGATACCACACATTTAATTACACAGGAAATGGAATGTCTTTCAATGGAAAAGAAGAACGACCCCGGAGCCCCAGCGGAGGGGTCCTGAAGTGTCAGGAGGGCTAGAGCCAGGGCCGAGCCCCGACGGGAGGGGCCCGCCGCGGGCAGGTCGGCGTTCCTGCCGCGGCCAGAGGCCGCCCGCCCTCCCCGGCCCTGTCGGGCAGCCCCAGGCGCTGGTGGAGCCCCTGGCCAGGGCAGGGCTGACGTCCTGCGTGACGGGGCCCCACGCAGCAGACCCTCCCGGGGTGTCTGACGGGAGTACACAAGCGCCGAGCCTGCCCGAAGCCCTGCCGAGAACGCGACTGCGAGGGAGAAGGGGGGGCAGCCGCAGGCAGGGTCCCGAGGGCCCCAAGGAGCAGGCCGATTTCGCCCTGTGGCGCCAGCCTCAGCAGGAGCGGCGTCCTGAGACCCCCGCCCAGCGCGGCCTCAGGCCCCGGGACTTCCAAACCGGGAACCACGGAGGTCTGCGCTGGCGAGGCTCAGCCAAGCCCGGGCCCCCACGGGGCACGCGTGCGCCCCGGGCTGGAGGCAGCGGCCCAGCACATGGGGACACCGTGTTCCCACCAAGTGGAATAAATAAACCCGACACCCTGCTGCGTCTGGACGCGGGAAGAGCGGACCAGCCGAGGACTGTCTGTTCTGGGGCGGCTTCCAGCGCACGTCTCCTGACAGCGTGAAGTTCAGAGAGTCGGGCTAAAGTTCGGGGGGCCCTGCCCCGGGCTGCCCGGGAGCCGGAGGCCCGTGAGCGCAGAGTCCGCGGCTCCTCACGGGGCCGCCGGGGGCCGGGCTGCCCTTCCGACCGCTCCCTGCCTCAGCTGCCCGGTCCTCCGGGGCGCCCGCCCCTCGGCCCTCCTCAGCACCGCGGGCCCGAGCCAAGGGCACAGAGCCAGAGCAGTCCCCCGGGAAGCATCTGGAGCCGGGGAGCTGGGTGCTGAGAGATGACGCTCAGGCTGGGCCGCGGCCGTCACTCCGACCACCCCCCGCCACCCCACTCTGCCCGCCGGGCGTGGCCTCTCGGTGGTGGCGGGACCAGCGCCCACTCAAAATGCCCGGCCGGGCGCACCTGCTTAGTTGCCAGCGGCCCAGGGAAGCGCCATCAGGAGGGGCCGGGCCCGGCCCCCGCCGCCCGGCCCCACCTTACGTGATCTTCCCGGGACGGCTGGAGCCTGGGTCTGACTTGTCCGTGGAGGGCATGTGAAGCCCGCCTGTGCCGTGCAGCGACGGCCTCTCTACCTAGACAGGAGCCGGCGCGGGCTGGACCTGCAGGCACGTGGGCGCTGTGTTGCCAGCCAGGCCTCCGGGGTAGCCTTGGCTCTTGGTCTTTCATCTTAGTTCTTCGCCTTCAGGCCTCGTTTCTGCTATCTGAGACCTCGGTTACCTGGCCCATGCCGCAGGCTGCATCTCCACGGATCCCCGACAGGAATGCGCAGGGCGGCCCGCGACGTGGGCACCGCCCGCTCCCTGCCCCAAGGCTCCGCCAGCGGACTGCCCCGATGCTGCTGCCCCGGGCCCCTCTGACCCCGCCCCGGCGCCCTTCCACCAACCTCACCAAGCCCCGTCTCCGCTCCTGACACGAAAGCAGAAGGCACGGGCCCCGCCCACGTCGCCCTCCTCAGCACGCAAACTCAACGCGGACAAACCGTGAGCCGCTCCGGGCGCCTGGCCTCTGTGTGGGTACCGCCCAGCCCTTCGCTCTCCGGCGTCCACCGGTCTCCAGCACACCCGCACGGCAGGGGCTGCTGTCCAGGGCCTGAGGACCGCTGGTGTGTCCTTCCTGGCCGCGGACGCCACACAGAGACGGTTTCAGCTACGGCCAGAGAGCCCTCGGGAGGCCCACGTCCCCGCTGGGAGCCCAGGCCTCTCTCACCGGGGTCACTCCCGAGCGGAGCCGAGGGCAGCGGTCAGGAAGGCGAGCTGCGGCTGCCCGGAGGGGAGGCTGTCCCGCGTAGGGGCGCTGGACGACTGTCCCGCAGGACCCCTGAACTTTGGGCTTCCCTTTTCTCCACGCCAGAAGCTGGGGGCCTTCTTGGTCAAGCCGCGGCGGGAGGTCCCCGGGGAGGGACCCCGAGCGTCACCCCGCTGCTCCTGCAGGAGGCGTGGCCAAGCCTCACCCGCGCAGCAATCATCCTCGCTCGCCCCAGGGCCGGCGCCCTCTCTGCTCCGCTGCTCGGCTCACACCTGCTTCCCCCGGCACAGCCCATCACTCACGATGCCTCCCTGCCAGCCTCCCCGCTGCCGGTGCCAGCGCGCGGGGCCAGGCCTCCCTCCACCTGGCCTGGGCGCGCACGGTCAGACGGTCGAAG